GATCGTTTGAGTACCGAGACATTTTTCCCTAAAATTTTTATTTTGAATACCATAAGGTTCATGAACAGGAACGTTTGAGTTCCGAGGTTCCACTGTATGTGTGTGTGTGTGTGTGTGTGTGTGTGTGTATATATGTATATGTGTGTGTATATATGTATGTGTGTATATATGTATGTGTGTATATATATATATATATATATATATATATATATATATATATATATATATATATATATATATATATATATATATATATATATATATATATAAATAGCGAAGGCTTGCACTCCTGGTGTAATCCTGTGGTGCCCGGTACTGGTCTGGCAAGGATCATAGACATAGCAGAAATGACCGCACTCCAAGGACTTTATAGAGATTTTCAAATAAAATTTAGCTTTTATTCAATCCATTTAAAAAGTCAACGTTTCAGCTCCCACATGGAGCTTTCATCAGGACAAAACATAACTTACAAGTGCAGACACAAAGAAATATATACCCCCAATCCCTCAAAATAATTTACCTTAATTGTGTACTCACCTAGCCATGAGACAGCTTGCCCTGCATTAGAGAGTAATGCAACTCTGAGTGTGGTGGCCATGTGTGCAAGGCCCAGAAAAGGGGCGGGGCTACAGGTTACTAAGTAACAATCCAACTGGACTGGTTGCTTTCCACTTTGTGTCCTAGTAGCTACAAACATGATTGAGCTCAGGGTAAAGTAGGAGTGGATACAGAGTCTAGAATGTTTCAAAAATGAATCTGACTGTCTTCATATATTTAAACCGTATAACAGGCTGGAAGGGCCATCAGGAATCCAAAATCTGTTATCATACTGGAAATTCACTCTTTGAGTGCTGGAGCAATTCATCCAATGCAGCACTGAAAGGGTGTATCTGTTCCTGTGTAACTGAGGAAAGAGCTGAACTATAAGTCTATTCTTAAACTTGTAGCAAATAGGGTGGGCATATCTCATGGTTCGGATCTAAAAAACACATTTAATATAGACATACATGATTTTAAAAATAAAAATAAAAACAACAGCTCAATGCAGGAGGTGTTACCATGTTAATACATTGATTATGCATAGGGTACTAAAGTTTAATAAATAATATGGACAGACAAAATGACCAGTGTTGAATTGCATAGTGTCCCCTGCATAGTTATTTATGATTATATACAAGATGTGACATGAGTAGTGTAATCTCTTAGGTACATAGCACACAGCATTGGAGTATGGTGGTCTAGTAGGGTATTCAACCCCTATATGATTAGTATGTGTGGCCAAACTATGTGTAATAGCCTAATTACCATGCATGGAATAAGCAATGGAATGATATGCAATGTATGCAGGGGGAGCATAAATCAAATTATAGCAACAAGACAATTTATACACATTGCTGTATAAACAAATATGTTTAGGATTATTGGATGAGATTAAACAGTGTATTTAACTCCTACAGGGAAACAAAAAAATGTACTATAGAAACATAGATAATGTGTACTTCTCGTTCAAGCCTCTGGGATATACTGTGTCCAGAGTTTTTATCCAGAACGTTTCACGTTGTAGAAGAAGTTTACTTCGATCACCCCCACGTCTGAGGGGGGGTATATGGTCTATAGCCATAAATTTCAGGGTGGGTAACGTGTGGCCATGGGCCAAAAAGTGTTTTGCTACAGGGAGTTCAGCCTTATTGTCCCTATAGGCAATGCGAATGTTGGATCTGTGGTTGCGGATCCGTTCCCTCAGTGGGAGGTCAGTTTTGCCCACATAGGAGAGGCCACACGGACACTGGAGTTTATAGATGACAAAATCCGAAGTGCAGGTCAACCTATGCCTAATTTGGTACTTCCGCCCAGTGTGTGGATGCTGGAAGAATTTTCCAGGTATCATGTGGCTGCAGGTGACACAGCCCAGACAGCGATAGCAACCAAGGCTCTGTGCTGTTTGTTGTTTGGTGTAGCAGTGTACTGGGTCCGTCTTTACCAGGAGGTCACGTAGATTTTTTCCCCGTTTATAGCACAACATGGGTGGATTCTGAAAGATTTTTGGTAGTGTTGGATCTTCTGATAGTAAACGCCAGTTGGAGTGCAAGGTGTTCTTGAGGCTGTGGGATGCCGTATTGTAGGTGGTCGGAAAGACTAGTCGTGGTGTATCATCTTTTTTCTCTCTCATAGGCTGTTGGCTCTTATCAAGTGCTTTCTGAAGAGTAGCATCCTTGTAGCCTCTCTGTTTAAACCTATTCCATGTTTCTTTAGTTTGTAAGCATGCTCTCATGGGATCTGAGTTATTCCTTTTAACCCTTAGGAACTGGGAGAGTGGTAAGGATTCTTTCAAGTGTCGTGGGTGAAAGCTGTCAGCCTGGAGTAGGGTGTTACGATCCGTTGTCTTGGTGAATAAAGTATACCCAAGCTTCATCTCTTTTTTAAAGATATGGACATCCAAAAAATTCACTGCATCCTGGCTCACTGTCATCGTTAATTTGACCGGTGTGGGTGCCCTGTTGATGGCCTCTATCATCTCCAAAATGGACTGGTGATCTCCCTTCCATATAAGGAACACGTCATCAATGAAGCGCCTATAGAATAAAATATTTGCTTCATACGGTTGTAGAATGTGGAGGGTCTCAAATATATACATAAAGCTGTTGGCATACATGGGTGCCATAGCTGCTCCCATGGAGGTCCCCGCTATTTGCTGGTACCAAGTTTCTTCAAATCTGAAGTAGTTAAGTGTAAGGACTGCCTCCAGGATTTCCATGACGTATTCAATCGGGGGGCCTGTGTATGTTGTTGAGTCTTGTAACACTTTGCGCATTGCTTCTATACCATCCAAATGAGGAATGATTGTGTAGAGACTTTTCACATCACACGTTACCAGCAGTGTAGTAGTGTTGGGTAAATTGATGGTGTCCAGAAGTTTCAATAGGTCTGGGGTATCTTTAATGCAGGTGGGAAGCTTGACAACTGTATCTTTAAATAAATAGTCCAGCCACTGAGCCAATGGTTCCAGTACTCCCCCTATGGCTGACACTATGGGTCTGCCTGGTGGATGATCAATGCTCTTGTGTACCTTGGGTAAGGTGTAAATAATCGGAGTCTTAGGTGTGGACTGGATCAAGAATTTCTGTAACTCTGTTGTCACAAAGTTAGCTTCCACTCCTCTTTGTACAATCGCTGAGATTTGTTGTGTGATACATGCTGTAGGGTCGCCCTTAAGTTTGGTGTAGGTGTCTGTATCTTGAAGCTGGGATAGAAGTTCCACTCGATAGTCACAGTAGTTAAGAAGTACTATGCCTCCACCTTTGTCCGCCGGTCTAATGACCAAGTTCACATCGTTTGCTAGTGAGCGGATAAGTTCAAGGTCTTGCTTCGTTATGTTGCTGAAATGACGTTGTTTGGTTTGCAAGATTATATCCATGTCTCGCTGCATATTACGCAGAAATGTCCTTATTGATAACTGCTGTGTTGGAGGGTCAAAGGTGCTTTTGGCTCTAAAGTGACCCATTTCACTGGTAGTTGGGGAGGAGGTGTTTTTGAAGAATTCCTTCAGGCGTATGGTTCTTCCGAATTTGTATAATTCTACGTCACTCTGAAGGTGGTTTGGGAGATTGGTTGGCACAAAAGAAAGTCCTTTTTTGAGTAGTTCGGTTTCATTGGGTGTTAATATTCTATTTGATAGGTTGAAGATTGGGATTACCTCGGTGGTCGTGGTGGTTTTCCCCTTGTGGTATGATCGGCCTTTCTGGCCCCTTCTGGTAACATACCTTCTCTTTGTCTTGTTAAATTCCTTGTATGGACCCTGGAAGGTGGTCCTTGATCCTGCTCTAAAAAATCTTGTGTAGAGGATTTGTTGGACTGGTTAGAGTGTGATGGTTCTGAGTCAGAGGTTGATTCCCCAGATGTTCGGTCAACAGTAAATTGTTTAGGTTTAGATATAGGTCTTCTTCGTCGTGCAAACCGTGGTCTGTCTGCTTGACCACTAAGCCATCTGTAGACACGATGTTCTCTATAATCATTATTGACTTTCTCTTGTTTTTCTCTTTTAAAACGTACCAGGTCAGTTTTATACTCCTTCACACTCTGCTCAAGTTTAAGCATTGTTGGTGCTGCTTCAACTGCTGACAGCAATAGAGCCTCTCTTGTTTCCAGTTCAGTTATCCTTTTCCTCACTTCTATCAAGTCCTCTCTGACATCTTCTATTATTACTAACATCAAATCAAGTGAGCATTTATTCAGGACAGATATCCATCTTTTACATACCTTAGGCTTGAGCCGGCCAATGGTAGGGATGTTTTTGATCCTGAAGCCACGTGGAACTTGTAGACGTTTGTGATAGTCTGATAGGAAGAGTCCATGGAGGTCTAAGTCTGTCTCCCTTTTCCTCAATCTTAGTAACTCGAAGTAGATTTCTTTTAATGTGGTGGTGTCTGGTAATTGCGTGCATGTTGTTTCCCATCTTATCCTGTCAGCATCTTGTTCAGTGTATTGAAAAATCTCTGCTTGGTCAGCAAGGCCTCCTGCTAAGGCAAAGAAGTCATCCATCGGTGGATTTAAACGTTATTAATCAGCTTGTAGGCTTCCCAGGTATTTGGGATAGTCTGAGAGTATAAAATTCTGAAATGTCACCAAAATATAGTCAATATTAAAGCAAGTTCTGCTTTCTGTGAGAAGATACTTATTCTCAATGTTCCGGGTGCAAAGCAAGGCTCCTGCCAATAGAGTCGTATTATACAAATAGCGAAGGCTTGCACTCCTGGTGTAATCCTGTGGTGCCCGGTGCTGGTCTGGCAAGGATCATGTAGACATAGCAGAAATGACCGCACTCCAAGGACTTTATAGAGATTTTCAAATAAAATTTAGCTTTTATTCAATCCATTTAAAAAGTCAACGTTTCAGCTCCCACATGGAGCTTTCATCAGGACAAAACATAACTTACAAGTGCAGACACAAAGAAATATATACCCCCAATCCCTCAAAATAATTTACCTTAATTGTGTACTCACCTAGCCATGAGACAGCTTGCCCTGCATTAGAGAGTAATGTAACTCTGAGTGTGGTGGCCATGTGTGCAAGGCCCAGAAAAGGGGCGGGGCTACAGGTTACTAAGTAACAATCCAACTGGACTGGTTGCTTTCCACTTTGTGTCCTAGTAGCTACAAACATGATTGAGCTCAGGGTAAAGTAGGAGTGGATACAGAGTCTAGAATGTTTCAAAAATGAATCTGACTGTCTTCATATATTTAAACAGTATAACAGGCTGGAAGGGCCATCAGGAATCCAAAATCTGTTATCATACTGGAAATTCACTCTTTGAGTGCTGGAGCAATTCATCCAATGCAGCACTGAAAGGGTGTATCTGTTCCTGTGTAACTGAGGAAAGAGCTGAACTATAAGTCTATTCTTAAACTTGTAGCAAATAGGGTGGGCATATCTCATGGTTCGGATCTAAAAAACACATTTAATATAGACATACATGATTTTAAAAATAAAAATAAAAACAACAGCTCAATGCAGGAGGTGTTACCATGTTAATACATTGATTATGCATAGGGTACTAAAGTTTAATAAATAATATGGACAGACAAAATGACCAGTGTTGAATTGCATAGTGTCCCCTGCATAGTTATTTATGATTATATACAAGATGTGACATGAGTAGTGTAATCTCTTAGGTACATAGCACACAGCATTGGAGTATGGTGGTCTAGTAGGGTATTTAACCCCTATATGATTAGTATGTGTGGCCAAACTATGTGTAATAGCCTAATTACCATGCATGGAATAAGCAATGGAATGATATGCAATGTATGCAGGGGGAGCATAAATCAAATTATAGCAACAAGACAATTTATACACATTGCTGTATAAACAAATATGTTTAGGATTATTGGATGAGATTAAACAGTGTATTTAACTCCTACAGGGAAACAAAAAAATGTACTATAGAAACATAGATAATGTGTACTTCTCGTTCAAGCCTCTGGGATATACTGTGTCCAGAGTTTTTATCCAGAACATTTCACGTTGTAGAAGAAGTTTACTTCGATCACCCCCACGTCTGAGGGGGGGTATATGGTCTATAGCCATAAATTTCAGGGTGGGTAACGTGTGGCCATGGGCCAAAAAGTGTTTTGCTACAGGGAGCCTCCTGGTAAAGACGGACCCAGTACACTGCTACACCAAACAACAAACAGCACAGAGCCTTGGTTGCTATCGCTGTCTGGGCTGTGTCACCTGCAGCCACATGATACCTGGAAAATTCTTCCAGCATCCACACACTGGGCGGAAGTACCAAATTAGGCATAGGTTGACCTGCACTTCGGATTTTGTCATCTATAAACTCCAGTGTCCGTGTGGCCTCTCCTATGTGGGCAAAACTGACCTCCCACTGAGGGAACGGATCCGCAACCACAGATCCAACATTCGCATTGCCTATAGGGACAATAAGGCTGAACTCCCTGTAGCAAAACACTTTTTGGCCCATGGCCACACGTTACCCACCCTGAAATTTATGGCTATAGACCATATACCCCCCCTCAGACGTGGGGGTGATCGAAGTAAACTTCTTCTACAACGTGAAACGTTCTGGATAAAAACTTTGGACACAGTATATCCCAGAGGCTTGAACGAGAAGTACACATTATCTATGTTTCTATAGTACATTTTTTTGTTTCCCTGTAGGAGTTAAATACACTGTTTAATCTCATCCAATAATCCTAAACATATTTGTTTATACAGCAATGTGTATAAATTGTCTTGTTGATATAATTTGATTTATGCTCCCCCTGCATACATTGCATATCATTCCATTGCTTATTCCATGCATGGTAATTAGGCTATTACACATAGTTTGGCCACACATACTAATCATATAGGGGTTAAATACCCTACTAGACCACCATACTCCAATGCTGTGTGCTATGTACCTAAGAGATTACACTACTCATGTCACATCTTGTATATAATCATAAATAACTATGCAGGGGACACTATGCAATTCAACACTGGTCATTTTGTCTGTCCATATTATTTATTAAACTTTAGTACCCTATGCATAATCAATGTATTAACATGGTAACACCTCCTGCATTGAGCTGTTGTTTTTATTTTTATTTTAAAATCATGTATGTCTATATTAAATGTGTTTTTTAGATCCGAACCATGAGATATGCCCACCCTATTTGCTACAAGTTTAAGAATAGACTTATAGTTCAGCTCTTTCCTCAGTTACACAGGAACAGATACACCCTTTCAGTGCTGCATTGGATGAATTGCTCCAGCACTCAAAGAGTGAATTTCCAGTATGATAACAGATTTTGGATTCCTGATGGCCCTTCCAGCCTGTTATACTGTTTAAATATATGAAGACAGTCAGATTCATTTTTGAAACATTCTAGACTCTGTATCCACTCCTACTTTACCCTGAGCTCAATCATGTTTGTAGCTACTAGGACACAAAGTGGAAAGCAACCAGTCCAGTTGGATTGTTACTTAGTAACCTGTAGCCCCGCCCCTTTTCTGGGCCTTGCACACATGGCCACCACACTCAGAGTTACATTACTCTCTAATGCAGGGCAAGCTGTCTCATGGCTAGGTGAGTACACAATTAAGGTAAATTATTTTGAGGGATTGGGGGTATATATTTCTTTGTGTCTGCACTTGTAAGTTATGTTTTGTCCTGATGAAAGCTCCATGTGGGAGCTGAAACGTTGACTTTTTAAATGGATTGAATAAAAGCTAAATTTTATTTGAAAATCTCTATAAAGTCCTTGGAGTGCGGTCATTTCTGCTATGTCTACATGATCCTTGCCAGACCAGCACCGGGCACCACAGGATTACACCAGGAGTGCAAGCCTTCGCTATTTGTATAATACGACTCTATTGGCAGGAGCCTTGCTTTGCACCCGGAACATTGAGAATAAGTATCTTCTCACAGAAAGCAGAACTTGCTTTAATATTGACTATATTTTGGTGACATTTCAGAATTTTATACTCTCAGACTATCCCAAATACCTGGGAAGCCTACAAGCTGATTAATAACGTTTAAATCCACCGATGGATGACTTCTTTGCCTTAGCAGGAGGCCTTGCTGACCAAGCAGAGATTTTTCAATACACTGAACAAGATGCTGACAGGATAAGATGGGAAACAACATGCACGCAATTACCAGACACCACCACATTAAAAGAAATCTACTTCGAGTTACTAAGATTGAGGAAAAGGGAGACAGACTTAGACCTCCATGGACTCTTCCTATCAGACTATCACAAACGTCTACAAGTTCCACGTGGCTTCAGGATCAAAAACATCCCTACCATTGGCCGGCTCAAGCCTAAGGTATGTAAAAGATGGATATCTGTCCTGAATAAATGCTCACTTGATTTGATGTTAGTAATAATAGAAGATGTCAGAGAGGACTTGATAGAAGTGAGGAAAAGGATAACTGAACTGGAAACAAGAGAGGCTCTATTGCTGTCAGCAGTTGAAGCAGCACCAACAATGCTTAAACTTGAGCAGAGTGTGAAGGAGTATAAAACTGACCTGGTACGTTTTAAAAGAGAAAAACAAGAGAAAGTCAATAATGATTATAGAGAACATCGTGTCTACAGATGGCTTAGTGGTCAAGCAGACAGACCACGGTTTGCACGACGAAGAAGACCTATATCTAAACCTAAACAATTTACTGTTGACCGAACATCTGGGGAATCAACCTCTGACTCAGAACCATCACACTCTAACCAGTCCAACAAATCCTCTACACAAGATTTTTTAGAGCAGGATCAAGGACCACCTTCCAGGGTCCACACAAGGAATTTAACAAGACAAAGAGAAGGTATGTTACCAGAAGGGGCCAGAAAGGCCGATCATACCACAAGGGGAAAACCACCACGACCACCGAGGTAATCCCAATCTTCAACCTATCAAATAGAATATTAACACCCAATGAAACCGAACTACTCAAAAAAGGACTTTCTTTTGTGCCAACCAATCTCCCAAACCACCTTCAGAGTGACGTAGAATTATACAAATTCGGAAGAACCATACGCCTGAAGGAATTCTTCAAAAACACCTCCTCCCCAACCACCAGTGAAATGGGTCACTTTAGAGCCAAAAGCACCTTTGACCCTCCAACACAGCAGTTATCAATAAGGACATTTCTGCGTAATATGCAGCGAGACATGGATATAATCTTGCAAACCAAACAACGTCATTTCAGCAACATAACGAAGCAAGACCTTGAACTTATCCGCTCACTAGCAAACGATGTGAACTTGGTCATTAGACCGGCGGACAAAGGTGGAGGCATAGTACTTCTTAATTACTGTGACTATCGAGTGGAACTTCTATCCCAGCTTCAAGATACAGACACCTACACCAAACTTAAGGGCGACCCTACAGCATGTATCACACAACAAATCTCGGCGATTGTACAAAGAGGAGTGGAAGCTAACTTTGTGACAACAGAGTTACAGAAATTCTTGATCCAGTCCACACCTAAGACTCCGATTATTTACACCTTACCCAAGGTACACAAGAGCATTGATCATCCACCAGGCAGACCCATAGTGTCAGCCATAGGGGGAGTACTGGAACCATTGGCTCAGTGGCTGGACTATTTATTTAAAGATACAGTTGTCAAGCTTCCCACCTGCATTAAAGATACCCCAGACCTATTGAAACTTCTGGACACCATCAATTTACCCAACACTACTACACTGCTGGTAACGTGTGATGTGAAAAGTCTCTACACAATCATTCCTCATTTGGATGGTATAGAAGCAATGCGCAAAGTGTTACAAGACTCAACAACATACACAGGCCCCCCGATTGAATACGTCATGGAAATCCTGGAGGCAGTCCTTACACTTAACTACTTCAGATTTGAAGAAACTTGGTACCAGCAAATAGCGGGGACCTCCATGGGAGCAGCTATGGCACCCATGTATGCCAACAGCTTTATGTATATATTTGAGACCCTCCACATTCTACAACCGTATGAAGCAAATATTTTATTCTATAGGCGCTTCATTGACGTGTTCCTTATATGGAAGGGAGATCACCAGTCCATTTTGGAGATGATAGAGGCCATCAACAGGGCACCCACACCGGTCAAATTAACGATGACAGTGAGCCAGGATGCAGTGAATTTTTTGGATGTCCATATCTTTAAAAAAGAGATGAAGCTTGGGTATACTTTATTCACCAAGACAACGGATCGTAACACCCTACTCCAGGCTGACAGCTTTCACCCACGACACTTGAAAGAATCCTTACCACTCTCCCAGTTCCTAAGGGTTAAAAGGAATAACTCAGATCCCATGAGAGCATGCTTACAAACTAAAGAAACATGGAATAGGTTTAAACAGAGAGGCTACAAGGATGCTACTCTTCAGAAAGCACTTGATAAGAGCCAACAGCCTATGAGAGAGAAAAAAGATGATACACCACGACTAGTCTTTCCGACCACCTACAATACGGCATCCCACAGCCTCAAGAACACCTTGCACTCCAACTGGCGTTTACTATCAGAAGATCCAACACTACCAAAAATCTTTCAGAATCCACCCATGTTGTGCTATAAACGGGGAAAAAATCTACGTGACCTCCTGGTAAAGACGGACCCAGTACACTGCTACACCAAACAACAAACAGCACAGAGCCTTGGTTGCTATCGCTGTCTGGGCTGTGTCACCTGCAGCCACATGATACCTGGAAAATTCTTCCAGCATCCACACACTGGGCAGAAGTACCAAATTAGGCATAGGTTGACCTGCACTTCGGATTTTGTCATCTATAAACTCCAGTGTCCGTGTGGCCTCTCCTATGTGGGCAAAACTGACCTCCCACTGAGGGAACGGATCCGCAACCACAGATCCAACATTCGCATTGCCTATAGGGACAATAAGGCTGAACTCCCTGTAGCAAAACACTTTTTGGCCCATGGCCACACGTTACCCACCCTGAAATTTATGGCTATAGACCATATACCCCCCCTCAGACGTGGGGGTGATCGAAGTAAACTTCTTCTACAACGTGAAATGTTCTGGATAAAAACTCTGGACACAGTATATCCCAGAGGCTTGAACGAGAAGTACACATTATCTATGTTTCTATAGTACATTTTTTTGTTTCCCTGTAGGAGTTAAATACACTGTTTAATCTCATCCAATAATCCTAAACATATTTGTTTATACAGCAATGTGTATAAATTGTCTTGTTGCTATAATTTGATTTATGCTCCCCCTGCATACATTGCATATCATTCCATTGCTTATTCCATGCATGGTAATTAGGCTATTACACATAGTTTGGCCACACATACTAATCATATAGGGGTTAAATACCCTACTAGACCACCATACTCCAATGCTGTGTGCTATGTACCTAAGAGATTACACTACTCATGTCACATCTTGTATATAATCATAAATAACTATGCAGGGGACACTATGCAATTCAACACTGGTCATTTTGTCTGTCCATATTATTTATTAAACTTTAGTACCCTATGCATAATCAATGTATTAACATGGTAACACCTCCTGCATTGAGCTGTTGTTTTTATTTTTATTTTTAAAATCATGTATGTCTATATTAAATGTGTTTTTTAGATCCGAACCATGAGATATGCCCACCCTATTTGCTACAAGTTTAAGAATAGACTTATAGTTCAGCTCTTTCCTCAGTTACACAGGAACAGATACACCCTTTCAGTGCTGCATTGGATGAATTGCTCCAGCACTCAAAGAGTGAATTTCCAGTATGATAACAGATTTTGGATTCCTGATGGCCCTTCCAGCCTGTTATACTGTTTAAATATATGAAGACAGTCAGATTCATTTTTGAAACATTCTAGACTCTGTATCCACTCCTACTTTACCCTGAGCTCAATCATGTTTGTAGCTACTAGGACACAAAGTGGAAAGCAACCAGTCCAGTTGGATTGTTACTTAGTAACCTGTAGCCCCGCCCCTTTTCTGGGCCTTGCACACATGGCCACCACACTCAGAGTTACATTACTCTCTAATGCAGGGCAAGCTGTCTCATGGCTAGGTGAGTACACAATTAAGGTAAATTATTTTGAGGGATTGGGGGTATATATTTCTTTGTGTCTGCACTTGTAAGTTATGTTTTGTCCTGATGAAAGCTCCATGTGGGAGCTGAAACGTTGACTTTTTAAATGGATTGAATAAAAGCTAAATTTTATTTGAAAATCTCTATAAAGTCCTTGGAGTGCGGTCATTTCTGCTATGTCTATATGATATATACCATATATTATGCGTGTGTGTGTACAGTATGTATGTATATGTATATATATGTATGTGTATATGTGTGTGTGTGTGTGTGTGTATATATATATATATATATATATATATATATATATATATATATATATATATATATATATATATATATATATATATATATATATATATATATATATATATATATATATATATATATATATATCTCAAGAGGGGGTTGGCTGCACTCACCCGAACATGCATAAATGGGGGTGCTGCTGGGAGCCAAATAATACAATACACAAGATCCAGAGCACTCACCTATCCACTAAACAGCAACTTCAATGTTGAATGAATTTTTTTTTATTATTTTTTTAAAACACCTAATCTAGGCAAAAATAATGGGGGTTTAGTTACATTATATGATCATACATTGCATAAGCCTGCCACAACGCCAATGTACCCCATCTTTGGCAGGTCCTACACTAACAGCCTAATGTCTGCTCTTATCTCTTATGAGATTAACCCACTTACTCAGGGGGGAAAAAAATCCATCTGGGGCTCTCTGCAGTACAAGGCAAAATAGGGCCCTGGGATGAGGCACCTGTGACAGGGAGGGGTGCAAAACCACTTGGTCACAAACACTGGCCAAAGTTAGTGTTAATATTTGTTTGTGTGTGAAAAATGCAAAAAACTAATTTGAACGCCAAATTTGTGACTAAGGGGCTACTAAAAAGACTGGACATACCCTATTTGCAATACCTTGGGTTGTCTACTTTTGCAAATGGTATGCCATCATGGGGGTAATTCTCATTCCTTGGCTACCATACTGTCTCAAATGCAATGTAACCAATCTGGCGAATTTCAACGTGAAAAAACTGAAATGTAACATGCTATATTTGACCCTGTAACCCCTCAAAACACCATAAAACCTGTACATAGGGGGTACTGTTTTATATGTGAGACAACTCTGAATACAAATGTGTACTTTATTGCAGTAAGAGCAAACAGTATTATAACATTCACAGTTAGAATGTCATGTAGAACTAAAGATTATTTTTTTTAATGCTTAATTTCTCCCATTTTTTTATATTTTACTCATATTAAATTGTTTTATACCTAAATATATTTGATGTTAAATGAAAGTCCTGTTTCCCTTGAATAAAATGATATATAATAAGTGTGGGTGCACATAATATGAAAGAGGTGAATTACGCCTGAACAGATATATAGTGCAAATTCAAGTTTACGTTTTGTTTTGATCACAACGTGTACATTTTGTTCAGTCCTTAAGGGGTTAATGGAAGTGAATTAGGGATAACAACACACGAAAAGGACTTTGGAATTGTTATAGACAAACTAGGCAACAACGTGCAATGTCAATCAGCAGTGGCCAAGGCCAGTAAGGTATTGTCATGCATGAAAAAGGGCATTAATTCTCGGGATAAGAATATCATTTTGCCTCTTTATAAATCACTGATAAGACCACATCTTGAATACACTTTGCAATTTTGGGAACCTGTTCTAAAGAAGGATATTATGGCACTAGAAAAAGTGCAGAGGCGGGCTACAACATTAATAAAAGGAATGGAACATATCAGCTATGATAAAGGTTAACAAATTTAAACCTTTTTAGTTTAGAAAAACGTCGCCTGAGTGGGGATATGATAACATTATACAAATATATTTGGGGCCAATACAAACCATTGTGTGGAAATCTATTCACAAACCGGACTTTACATAGGACACGAGGTAATGCATTTAGACTGAAAGATTTTTTTTTCTAAGGCAAAGGAAAGGGTTTTTTCTTTTTTTTTTACTGTAAGAACAATAAGGATGTGGAACTCTCCGCCTGAAGAAGTGGTTTTATCAGAGTCCATACAAATGTTCAAACCGCAACTAGATGCATACTTGCAAAAACAGAATATTCAAGGATATAATTTTTCAATGTAGGGTAGTAGTTGCTTGATCCAAGGATATATCTGACTGCCATTCTGGGGTCAAGAAGGAATTTTTTCCTAGTTTGTTGCAAAATTGGAAGTGCTTCAAACTGGGTTTTTTTGCCTTCTTTTGGATCAACAGCAAAAAACAAATGTGAGGAAGGCTGAACTTGATGGACGCTCGTCTCTTTTCAGCTATGTAACTATAATATGCACACGTTCTTATTGCCAAAACTGTAAAAAAAAAAAAAAAAATACGTTTATTCTGGGGTTGTTGTTGTTTTTTTGCATTTTGTTGTTTTTTTTTTTTTTTTTATAATAAATGAGAATTTTTATATGTACATGTCACATCTAATTAAAGCCCACTTTGTCATTTAAACAAACTATATATAATAATATATGTTGGTGCAAAAAAAAAGCAAAAAATTGCTTGTGTCAAGTGATTATCCCTTTAAGGATGCAGCTTTAGCTTATTTAACTTAACCCCTTCAGGACCAGCCTGTTTTGGCCATGTTGTACGTTAAGGACCGGGGCTCTTTTAACACTTCTGTTGTTTGTGTTTAGCTGTAATTTTCCTCTCTCTCATTTACTGTTCCCATACAATTTATATTTTTTTTTCAGGACTGAAAAGGCTTTCTTTACATACCATTATTTGTATCATGTCATATAATTTACTTTAAAAAAAAAAGTAAACAAACACTGGCCAAAGTTAGTGTTAATATTTGTTTGTGTGTGAAAAATGCAAAAAACTAATTTGAACGCCAAATTTGTGACTAAGTGGCTACTAAAAAAGACTGGACATACCCCACTTGCAATACCTTGGGTTGTCTACTTTTGCAAATGGTATGCCATGATGGGGGTAATTCGCATTCCTGGGCTACCATACTCTCTCAAAGGCAACATAACCAACCTGGCAATTTTCTATGTAAAAATATTTGACCCTGTAACATTTAAAAATGCTATAAAACCTGTACATGGGGGGTACTATTATACTCGGTAGGCTTTGCTGAACACAAATATTAGTGTTTCAAAACAGTAAAACGTATCACAACAATATTATCAGTAAAAGTGCTCTTTGTGTGTGAAAAACGCAAAAAAATCACTTTCACTGACAATATCATCGCTGTTATATGTTTTAATGCTTTGAATCACTAATATTTGTGTTCAGTGAAGTCTCCCGAGTAAAACCGTACCCCCCCATGTACAGGCTTTAGGGTGTCATAGAAATTTACAGGGTTAAATACAGCGCTAGCAAATTAAATTCTCTGGACTTTTGGCCTAGGTTGTCAGGCAGGTCCCTCAAATTGCAATTCATAAAATTACTTAATTATATAAAAATATTACATAAATACGCACATAGAATTGAAATATATATGCATATTTATATATTTGAAGTCTACGTGTATATTTATATAATTATTTATGTCATTTTGTATATGGACATATGTATATTTCATATTATTTTTATTTATATATACATAGATATATACAATTTAATTCTAAGTGTATTTTCATATATATATATATATATATATATATATATATATATATATATATATATATATAAAAAAAAATTTCATATAGATATACATTTATTTCAAAATTATTATTTTTAAATTTTTAGTTTATTTTAATTTACTTATTTGAATTTTATAACGTATATATACAAAATATTTAATATATACACACACACATTATAGAATATAAAAATACACTAAGTATGACATTAAATATGATATATCGACATATTATATAGGTATAAAATATATATATATATACACACACACACACACATATATATATATATTTTTTTTTATTAACATTAAAAAAAATTTATTTTTCTGATTTTACACTTGCACGGAGACTGCCTGTCAGCACAGGCAGTCCCCCTGCAGGCAAACACTAGGACACCTATTGTGACCATGTGACTGCTCTGTTGAGCGATCACATGGCCCCTGGGGTCCTAATTTGCCGTGGGGAGACTGCCTGGGCTACAGGCAGTCTCCCCACACCAGGAGCAATGCAGATCGCCGCCGAGAGAACGACGGCGACCGGGTGAGTAACAATTACAGTTATAACGGTTCAGGACCGTCATTGGTCCTTAAGGGGTTAATAACTTGTAACATGCATAAAATAAACAATTAGTGACAGTCAAATTAGAGGCCAACCAGTAGATATTGGCAGCTACCACAACTGATACCTATCATTACATAATGTTTACCATTGTGAAAAGTTGAAATGGGAACATCACATTTACATGTCCCTCTATTTAAAAAATGTGTTTGCGAAGTGTAAAAAAAAAAAAAAAAATTACAGAAGTGTACATCTTTTTATCCAGCAATGGGGTACTTCCCTCTGAGGTCCCTGTCAGGCATTGTTATATAAGTTCTGTTTTTTGAATCTGACAGTTGGCATAGGAAAAAATGTGCAGAGAAGAGTGGAAATTATACAATGCTTCTATTTTTTCCTTCTCATTTGCAATATTTGCCCTCATTTTGTCTTGTGTAAACTGGATTATGATGTAATTTGTTAATTATGTATTTAAAAATGTAAAAGAAAAGAAAACATCACATGAAAAAATAATTAAAGACACTCAAAGCACCAAATCACTGTTAGCTTAAAGGGATACCTTAAGCACCAATGCAACTTTATACTACTTCTGTATAGACCAGTTATGGTGAACCTTTTTGTGCCCAAGTGCCCAAACTGCAATACATGCCACCTTTTGTTTCCTCAAAGTGCCAACACTGCAATTAAACCTGAATACTGATGTTTAAATTTAGAAAAAACAACTCGTACAGTTGTCTGAACTAATTAACAACTTTTGTTTTAAAAGACGAACACAACAGAGTTCAATGATACAAATTTTAAATAAGGATATAAATAGATCAATTTAAGCTTATATTTATTAGTATCACCAACAAATGCAATACTGCTGAATACACATACAGACAGACTGCTGAATACACACACACACACTGCTGAGTACACAAACACACACATACTGCTGAGTACACAAACACACTGCTGAGTATACACACAGACAGACTGCTGAGTACACACACACACACACACAGACTGCTGAATACACATACTGCATTGAGGGATGCAGTGTATGTATGTGTGTGTGTGAGGGGTGTTGTGTGTGGGGGGTGTGTGTGTGTTGTGGGGGCAGGGGTGCAATGTATTGGGGTGCTGTGTGTGTGTGTGGGAGGGGTACTCTGTGGGGGAGTCGAGGGGCTATGTATATGTTGGGGTAGGGGTGCTTTGTGTGTGTGGGAGGTGTGCTCTGTGTGGGTAGGGGGTGGTTAAAAAAAAAAAAAAGTTACGTTAAATCTGTATCCCCCTCCCTCCTATTTACCTTTAATGGGGACAGCTATCCCTGGTGGTCCAGTGGTGGTAAGTACTGCTTCCGGGTCAGGAGGCAGGGGGAGGGATCTGCGAAGCAGCTCCCCTGTCCTCCCGCGCGATGCTGTGTGGAGCATTGCCATGGTAACGCGCGGCAACGCTCCATTGATGGTGAACCTATGGCCGCCATCAATCCATACTCTGCATTGATGGCGAACCTATGGCCGCGTGCCCACAGAAAGGGCCCGGCCTGCTACCTTTGGCACGCGTGCCATAGGTTCGCCACCATTGGTATAGACCATGCAACTTCATCTTTATCTTTGATATACTCACTTTGACTGTGTTGGAATATTACTGAACTTTCAAACCCAGTCAAAAGATATGTTAAGACAAGGGATTACTTTGTTGTAGTATTTTTTTCCACTTGAAGAAAGGTGGAGTCAAGCTATGTCAAAGCTTGTCAAACCCTCCCATCCTTAACAGCTGTGGGGAAAAGGCTCTGTCTATTGAGGATCCTCCATAGACATCAGTGCTGTACTCTCATGCTCCTGGCAGCTGAAGCACTAGGAGATGTAGAGGACCAGACAGAAGAGGATGTTGACTGGGCCAGTGCAAGGATCTTTGGCTACACAGGTGAAGATGATTTGTCTCCTCCCAACAAAATGCATTTTCACCTGTATGTCTCTTAAACCACCTTTTGAATTTCTTAACCCCTTTAGTGTTTCATATAGCTATTTACAACCCCCTCTTTGTGGGTCTTTTACTCTTCCCAGCTTTATTGTGTATGTCCCTATCTCCTCTACCATCTTTGGGCATTTAGGTGTACCCTCCAGCCCCTCTTTGTGTCTCTTTCTCCCCAACCCCATTTTGCATATCTCTTCTCCAACCCATTTTGTGTGTCTTTTCCCTCTTTTCTGTCTTTCTTCCACCCCCTTTCTCTCCTTCCCCAGCCCTCTTTCGTGTGTCTTTCTCCCCTTCCCCAGCCTCTCTGAGACTCTGTCCCCATAGCCCCTCTGTGTGAAACCCTATCCCCTTTGTGTTTCTCTTCCCGCCAACCCTGATTGTGTGTCTCTGCTATTCCCCCCTTTGTGGTCTCTTCTGTCAGGATTACAGTATGATCCAGCATGTAGAATTGTGTAACACAGAGGACTGATAGATAACTGCAGAATGGCCAGACTAACGTACCAAAGAATAGTCAGGAATAGCCGAGGTCAAGACAATCGTTTAGCGTCTATGTAAGACAGGTTTTTGTGATCAGTAATGATCAAAAGGTGGTCCTTGGAACCCTCTAGAAGATATCACCACTCCTTGAGAGCTAGAATAATGGCCAACAATTCCCTATTCCCAATTTCATAATTGCGCTCGGCAGGAGACAACTTTCTAGAGAAGTAACCACAAGGATGCAATGGAGTATCCTGGCTCTCCCTCTGCGAGAGAAGTGCCCCTACCCCTGTCTCTGATGCATCAACCTCCAGTATGAAAGGTTTACTGGTATCAGGATGTATCAATATGTCAGCAGAGGCAAACGCTGTTTGAGAGTTTCAAAGGCTTCTATAGCCTCCTTATACCATATCGTACTGCTAACCCTCTATTACTCAACAAAATCCCTTTATAAACCTTCTAAAATAATTGGCAAAACCAAATGAACCTTTGAATGGCTTTCAACCCAGTGGGTAAAGGCCACTGTAGAAGCGATTCCAACTTTTTAGGATCCATCTGAAACCCAGAGGCTGAGATATTATATCCCAAAAACTGTTCTTCAGATTGGTCAAAAATGTATTTTTCTAATTTACAATAAAGTTGATTTTTAACAAAGTCTGCAGAAGTTGTCTCACGTGATCATGGTGAGTTGGAATGTCGGAAGAATAAATAAGGATATCATCCAGATAGACTAAGACAAACAAGTAAATGTTATCCCCGAGTACATCATTTATGAAATCTTGAAGAAAAAATTAAATAAAATAATAATCGCTGGAGCGTTGCACAACCCGAATGGCATTACTAGATATTCATAGTTTCCACTTCTGGTATTAAATGTAATCTTTCACTCGTGGTTTTCCTTGATTCTCACTAAATTATAAGTGCTTCTAAGGTCAAGCTTAGTAAACACTTTAGCGCCTTGGAGTCTATCAAATAATTCAGCAATAAGAGGAATGGGGTAGGCGTTCTTAATGGTGATTTTGTTCAATCCTCTAATCAATACATGGGCACAACTCATCGTCCTCTTTAGATACAAAAAAGAATCCTGCCCCAGCAGGTGAGGAAGATTTTTGTATGTGGCCTTTATTCAATGAATCCTTAATATATTCCTCCATTACTTTACTCTCCTGAGGTAACAGAGCATAGACTGCTCTCTTAGGTGGCATAGCACCGGGTAATAAATTAATGGAACAGTCATATGGTCTGTGAGGACGTAGAGTATTCGACTGAGTCTTGCTGAATACTTCTTTAATGTCTTGGTACTGTATAGGGATTTCCGGGTTTTGAGATGTACTAGTGGGTAATTCAATAGTGCCCACTCTTTTGGCGACATTCAATATACACCTTTCATAGCAATCCTTACCACATTCTAATATTTCCCCATTAGCCTAGTCAATGAGGGTTATGCTTGTTAAGCCATGGAAAGCCTAATATGATCAGACAGGAAGGGGATGCAATAACCTGAAATGTAATCTCTTCCTTATATAAGGCACCAATGGAAATATTCATGGGTAAGGTTTCATGCGTTATCAATGGTTTTAAGAGTGGTCTTCCATCAATAGCTTCAACAGCTAGGGGTGATAGTCTCTCATTGACAGGTATAGTATTACCTTTAACAAACTGAACATTGAAGAAGTTTCCAGCGGCACCTGAATCCATCAGGGCTTTGCATGAAAAGTTCTTCTTTTCAAGGGCAATAGAAATATCAAGGAGAAACCAATTTTTATCCTTTCCAGAGGGCGTTTCCATTACACCAAAGACCTGTCCCCTTAAGGTGCTTAGGTGCGGTAGTTTTCCAGAAGTATGGGACAATTGATTCTCATATGTCCTTTCCTACCGCAGTATAGACATAGGCTTTCTTTTCTCCTATATTGTCTTTCTGCTTCCGACAGCCTAGTGACCCCCCAACTGCATGGGTTCGAGTTCGGACTGTACAGGAAATTCAGGGACAATAGGTTTGGAGAAGTGGGGTGCTAAAGGCATACTCATGTGTCTGGTCTTGTTTCTAGTAGCTTCTCTGGTTCTCAATTTGCATGACAAAAGTGATAAATTCATTAAGCTTTTTGGGTAAGTCTTTGGTGGCAATCTCATCAAGCATAGTTTCAGATAGTCCCTTTTTAAATGCAGATATTAACCCACTGTTAGTCCAGTCTACCTTGGAAGCTAGGATACAGAATTCTATGGATAGACCGGTTCCCTTGTCTGATATGCATCAGGGCAGTAGAGGAGTCATCCTCTCTGCCTAAAGGTTCAAACGGAAGTTTGAATTCCGTAATAAACTCCTGGTAATTGTGTGCCACACTCCTATTATTCTCCCATAATGGATTGGCCCAAGCTAAAGCTTTACCTTTTAATTGATTCATCAGGTAACCAATTTTAGCTCGGTCTGTGGGAAAAGATCCTGTGAGGCCTCAAAATGATACTGTATTCGGTTAAGGAATCCCCGGCATTCTTGGAAATTACCATCAAAATGCAGAGGAGGAGATAGAGAGATAGTTGATGCCTTGTATACTATAGGCGGAGGTACAGGAGGCGGAGGTGAGACAGTAGGAGCAGCCGCATGTTGCAGATGCGCTGTTTGGGTAAGAAGCTTACTGAAAGTCTGGGCAAATTGATCTATGCTCTAGTTTCCTTTCGCAAGCAGCTACATGCTTACACAATTCTAAAGAATCTATGGCCATGTCGTAATGTCAGGATTACAGTATGATCCAGCACGTAGAATTGTGTAACATAGAGGACTGATACCGGACCTTAGAATAGCCGTACTAACTTACCAAAGAATAGTCAGGAATAGCCGAGGTAAAGGGATACAGAAAGAGACACAACGATAAGGAAAAGCCAGGGGTCACGGATGCCAGAAAATAGGGAAGCCTAAAACAATGCCAAAGCCCAGAATTACCAGAATCAGTAACATGCTCTCTGACAACCACAAGGGAAACCATGACAGGGCACTGAGCAGGATGAGAACTGGGCCTAATTACCCCTCCTCTGGATCTGATAGGCTGTAATCAGCCTTTGACCACAAAGGAAGTTACCAGGTTTCCATTTGCATAATTGCTGCTCAGCACAAACCCTCCTTATTGCTGCTCAGCACAACTTTTCCTGTCAGGACAGTAATATTTTCCGGCACAACTTTTCCTGTCTGAACAGTAAATTCCATTAATCACATTTTTCTAAGCAGATGAATACGTGACATCTTCCACCCACACTACTGTCTGTGATCTCTATCCTCATCTCCCCTCCTGTGCCTCGTAACCTCCACTTTGTAGCGTGGCAATGCGGACCACAGTAGGGATCTTCTGTATCCTCTGCCTGGTTTTGCAGCATTTGGTCTGTATTTAGCTCTCAGGCAATTGTTTCAGGATATATAAAGACACTGCCAGGTATTAGTGTATAGCAGCCATGTTTCAGGAGATACAGGAAGGAAGTACCCACCCCAACAGGAAACACATGCAATAGAGAATAAACCATAGTTAGTTGCATGTAAACCAAACATAACATCCATAACTGCAATGTTTTGTCTGGCTGAAATCCGGACCAAACTCAAGCCCATTCAGGATCTGTATTACAAAAACATGGATGCATTCCTATTTGAATCTTAGTGAATAACCCTGTTAACATTGAAATAATTAATGTTTATCACCTGCTTTAAATTTTCCCTATTTATCTATTTCACTAATGCAGTCAAATTATTGAGAATGATTGTGATATTCACTTACCTTTCCTAAAGAAAAATGGTAACATTGTTAAAATTTATTGAAATGCATTTCATGTTGTATGCTACTAAATCACCAAGGCAACACATGTAGCACTGTATGTTTAAACAGTCCCTTTTAGGAGGAGTGGATACCAGAATGTAATTGATTGGATGAACAATATACACATCCAGATGGAAAAGCCAAGGAAAAACACTGGAATAGTGATACAGCTGATTGGCTGAATGTAACATTCCCGGGTTAGTGATGTGAAATAAAAGGAAGTTAAATACCAGAGTAAGTGAGCCTTTAGTAACGGAGGATGCTGATGATGCTCATATGTTAAAGGACCACTATAGTGCCAGGAAAACATACTAGTTTTCCTGGCACTATAGTGCCCTGAGGGTGCCCCCACTTTCAGGGTCCCCCTCCCGCCGAGCTCTAGGGTGAGGAAGGGGTTAAACGTACCTCTTTCTCCAGCGCTGGGCGGGGAGCTCTCCTCCTCCTCTCCGCCTCCTCTCCTCCATTCAGCCATTCTCAATGCTTTCCTATGGACGCTGGCGTCCTCTCACTGTGAAAATCACAGTGAGAAGCATGCATGCGCCTCTAGCGGCTGTCAATGAGACAGCCAATAGAGGTTGGATTAACCCTAATATAAACATAGCAGTTTCATAGCAGCTGAAGTGGTCTGGGTGCCTCTAGTGGTCCTTTAAGGAATTTGTTTTTGTAAAACCTTTGTTTCACTATATTTGATTTTGATATTTGCATCGAGCACTAAAGGTAGTGCTTTTTAAATAAAACTCTGCAGTCTCAACCTACTGGCACAAGGGGGAATGTCACCTTAAGCAAACAAATTGCCCGTGATACTTAGAGCTAGTCCAAAAGGCTCTACTTCACATTAATGTTTCTTTGACTTTTATTATATCTACCTAGAAACTATAGCCTACGGCATTATTTGGGGATTCTGTATTTTATTTTGAGATAGACCAATAACGTTACTACAAGAAAATGTTTAATTAACTATTTAATGTTGCGGTGAAGAGCAGCATTTATATGGTTGATGTTTTTGACACAGTGCCATCCAATCTAGATTCAGAACAAAATAAAAGCAGGTATTATC